TTAATATTAATTATTATATTTTAATAATTATTTTTAATAATTGTTAATATTTTGCTAATATTCAAATCCTGCCCCCTACTGAGCACGACATTAGATATATGAGCCCTGTGCACCACCTTAAACTGTAACAGGCAGTGACGTGCACAGAGAAATGTTGAATTTACCAGCCTGAAAATGGAATCCCATACATCATTTGACAGTGAGAGTGAGTGAAATTCTGCTCCCAAGCAGTTCTAATTTTGTCCACAGGAGCCTGTTTTATGCCCATCAATTTGTCACAGATGACTGATATTAAGCCCTCGCGCGATGGATGCAGACCCAGCAACACATCGGCAGTGGTCGCAGTGGTTGCCTCAGGGAAACTAGGTACCCACCAAAGATTTTCAATCAGATTTAAATCTGGTGACTGAGAAGGCCACTCCAGGACGTTCCAGGATCTTGTTCTCAACCAAGCTTTGGTTGACTTGGAGGTGTGCTTGGGATCATTGTCTTATTGTAAATTCAAATGATTAACCAGGTTTAATTTGTCAATAGAAGGCATCACGTTCCTCTTTAAAATGGCCTGGTATTTCTGGGAATTTGTAAAGCCAGGTACACGTCGCCAAGTGCTTGCTCATGGGGGTACTGTTGGGTCTCTGTAAATAATGTTGTAAGGAGGTTGGTCTAGATCTGCTCTATTTGAAAAGTATCCTGAGATAACTTCTGTTATGAATTGGCACTATACAAATAAAATGGAATTGAATTGAATTGACTTGAAGATTTCTAGTTCCTGCCGCAGAACAACGGCCCCACATCATCAATGACCCACCTCCATGCTTGACCGTGGGGATGGTATTCTTCTGGTCATAAGCCTGGCCTTTCGCACACCAGACATACCGCTGGTCCATATGTCCAAACAGTTCCAGTTTGGTTTCATCAGTCCATAGAACTCCCAAAACTCTGTAGTCTTCCTGGCATATTCTAGTCAACGTTTGATGTTCCATGTGGTCAAGAATGAAGTGGGTCTTGGAGTCCAGCCATGAAGTCCTTGTTTATTCAGTGCACGTCTTATAGTTGCCACTGAAGCACTTGTACCAGCCTTCATCAGGTCATCCTGTAGGTGTCTTGCAGTCACACAGGGGTTTCTCTTAGTTGTTCTGACTAAGTTGCTAAGGGCCCTTGATGAAATGTTGGACTTTCTTCCACGGCCAGGCAGGTTTACAGCTGTTCCATAAGTTTTAAACTTCCTTATAATGCTCCCAATGGTGTCTCTTGGAATATTACATTATTTGGAAATCTTCTTATACCTTTGTGGAAGCCCCTTTGTCTTTCCCATGATTGAAACTCATCTTCAATACCTTAATGGGTGTGGTTTATAAATTCATCACAGTTGAAGCAAATGAAGGATCATTATAGAGTTCCCAAAGGTTTAATTATGTTTCAACTCCACTTTAGGCCATAAAAACTGTCAGGCAGCTTTAAAAACAACAACATTATATAGGGGTTGAATAATTGACATGGCTATCTTAACAAAATA